CATAAAAGCATTTATGAGATTCATGAATAAAATGTTTTATTTAGATAGGTCTGGTGTCTTCTTCAATATCGTTAATATAAAAAATAAGTCAACATTTTTTTTTTGTTGGTCTCTACCAACCAAATTAAAAAGGTATATTATTTAAACTATAATTCTTTTGTAATATAAATAAAAGTAACTTGTTATGCACATCACTAATTTATTATAAATTTACTTAGTAATTTTTTTAATGTTTTTGTAAATAAAACTATTTGATTATGGTTTTTTTTTTCTTTCGTCTTTTAGCGCCCCTATTATCTTGGAGCCCAGGGCATTTATGCCCCTTTTGCCCCTTTCTCTTGGCGGCCCTGGTTGCATATAATATTTGTATTGTATATATAAGCGAAGTGTTAAATATGTTGCATATAGTACTTCGATTCATGTTGAACAAGCCACGATGAAACAGTGCTAGTGAATTATTTGTGAAACACGGTGCCCATTCACTTAATGTTGCTATTTGTAAGCAACAATACTTTTTATTGTTAATGCTGTAGATTAGTGTGAATCTCGTCATAAAGGCTTTTGTTAAATGGTTCTTGCAGTCTCCATAGTTGATTAAATGGTGAGCTGAGTCATATTTATAACACTTTATTCATTTACTTTTCTCTGGGTTTTGTTTATATTCAAGTGCGTTATTATTTTATATCCAATTTATTTTACCCATTGTATATTTATTATATTGGGCCTTGAGCCTGTCAATAAACATGATTGATATATATATATATATATATATATATATATATATATATATATATATATATATATATATATATATATATATATATATATATATATATATATATATATATACATATATAAATATATATATATATATATATATATATATATATATATATGTATATATATATATATATATATATATATATATATATATGTATATATATATATATGTATATATATATATATATATATATATATATATATATATATATATATATATATATATATATATATATATATATATATATATATATATATATATATATATATATATTTCAATAAATCCATCAATCATATTTAAATGGTTACAGCATGTTTCGAAAACAAGGTCTTTAAAATAAACAAAAGAGTAATTTTTTTGAAAATAAAAAGTCTAAATCATTACAAATATTCTAATTTATAAAAGTTTAAGAAAATTAGTCAATACTTATGTGTTTATAATGATTCACGCTCCACATAGTAGCGCCATTTAGCAAAGGGCTCGTGAGCTCTTTCTCTTAAATATGAGAATTTTACTCTTAGATTTCAAGCAACAACAAAAAAGAATGTTCATATCAAAAGCGTTTACCTTACGCCTAAAGATGAATCTTATTATTGCTCTGAATCAGTTGCTAGGCAGCTGACGATTATAAAAATCATATTTGAAAAGTTGTGAATTATCTAGTTTTCATTTATTCAGATTATTACTTACCAATTATGATAAATGTTGTTACTTGATTATTGCAAATATTTCAAGCACAATACAAAACAGAGTTGCAGTTAATCATCTCACAATAAGCTAAGTTTTTGCAACTTAGGGTAACACTCTGAATGAGTTAAATTGTCAATTTTACCCTCTTGAAACAATTGATATAAACGTCGTTCCGCAATGAAGTCTCTAGACACTTCATTGCGGAGACTCAAGAGAAACAGAAAATGGGATTAGAAAGAATAGTATATCAGTATTAGGGGAATAATTATATTACAGTCACAGCCAATATTGTCTTGACTATGAAAAAAGTTTAAAGGTGACAAATGTATTCCGCAAGAATTTGTAATTTTTTTAGACTACAACAAACTGCTAAGATGTATCATTCCATGATATCGAGAAAATTTTTTCTTATAAACTCAAAAAATTCTACCTTTGGGTATGATCAGAGAAGTGGCTAGGCTCCCCCATACATTCAAATTGGAGATAAAAAGAAATTTCTAAAAGAAATTAATGCTTTAAATGTATACGAACTAAATATTCATCAAAACTTATTGTTTATGTTTATAACTTCACAACAACATGCTTCCGTTATATTTTCAGCCACATTTCTCCTTAATTAATCACAGATACTTAACAAGTATTCTATTAACAACACTCCGTCAATAACAACAGAACAAAAAATTGGACAAATCAATTACTTGTCGGGGTCCCTGTCTGTAGAACTCGAACCTGATTAATAACATAAAATCAAAATTAAAGCATTAAAAAAAACTATGAAACAACATTTGTTAAATGTAATCATTTTTTCAAATCAAAAACATTTTTTAAGTCATTTTGTTATGTATTTATCTTGTTATATATTTACTAATACGTATGTGAATGTTTAACTCTTAAATATATAAGAAATAATTTTATACTTATATATTTTATAAAATTAAACGTGTAAACGATAATAAAGATGAAAAAAATATATAATGAGATTTTAATTACAAAATAGTAAAAAATAAGTTTACTTGGTGATACACATAACAATTAACTTTGCTTTATTTATATTACCAAAGAATTATAGTTTGAAATAATTTATCTCTTTTCGTTGGTTGACGGAGATCAACCAAAAAAAATAAATTTTGAATTGTTTTTTTATACTGACGACATTGCAGTAGACACCAGATCTTATCTAAAAAAAATTTTTATTGTTAAAGATAACTTTGTTTGGTTATTTCAGAAAAAAATTTCGTAAATATTTTTATGATTGTTCTGAAAGAAAATTTAATCATAATTTCAAATGGCAAAATAAAAAAAGCTAAATTTATAAATTTTATTTAGTAAGATTCAACAACTACCTAAACGTTGTTAAAATCTCAACGCAAATCAAATGTCACGCCTACCCTAAAAAAACGAAACAAAGTTAAAACTTAAAACTACAAGCTTGTGTCTCTATTTTATACCATGCAAGGTGACGGAGTGAATTGTCTTAGATAGGATTATGAAAAACTCTACACAATCTAATTCAAATTCTCATTATTCAACACAGTGTCACACTATGACTACTTCATTAGATTCATGCCTGTAAGCATGAAATTTTTCAAGTCGTTGTTTAACACTGTTTTGAATGTTTTAGCAAAACCTGTTAAATTTATGTAAACCAGGTATCCACGGTAAAATACTTCCTTTAAAATGTTACGAAATTCAATCAGGTTTGTAAGGCAGCGTTTGTGATGTGCTATATATGGCATTAGAGGCCAGCTATCAAAATAACCCACTGAATAGCTTGGTAGCATACAAAAGTGTGCAATAATTGGAATCACTGAATAACTTGGTAGCATACAAAATGAATCACTAAATAGCTTGGTAGCATACAAAAGTGTGTAATAATGATTGTGAAGTGAGTAAAAATTAATGACAAGTGGCATCCCTCAAGGATCAGTTCTTACATCACTGTGTTTTTTATCAATGACTTACTAGACTGCATTTGTTAACATACCAAATTATACTCCGATGATGGCAATATCACATGAGTTATCAATGTCAATTAATTTTCTCTGATTAAGAAAAACTGCAAGTAAACATCGGCTGCTTGGCTAGACAATCAAATAATTAGTTGTCTCAAGAAGTTGTTTTGGTGTCGGAGCTCTCCAGGTACGGAAAAAAGTTGTAGCAAATTTGAAATCAATTTTATCTTGCGCTAGTTCATTGTTGAAATGAACTAGCGCAGGATAAAAGCGCAGGATGCACTTTTATCCTGCGCTATCCAAATGCTGTTGTTGCTTTTCTTTATCACTGTTAAACCTTTGATGAATAAATTTTATTGTTTCTCGTAATAAATAAATTTAAGATATTTTGTTTTCAGCAACAGTCCCAATAGATAGATGATGCTTTACAAGATTTTGAATACCGGACGTTCAGCTTAGATTTCTGATATAAAACTAACAGCTATAAATTGAACGATCGCAAAAATCAATGCTGCTCTAAAGCCGTAACTCTAGCTTTAACAAAAATATTGACCCGCATGATGAGCGGATGACTTATCTTGGCTATAAAACAGAATTTTTGGCAAAACAACTGATAATATTGAAATTGCAATGAATTTGGAAATGCAGTTTCTTTCCATAGGTTCCCCAAACATAAACTTAAGTAATTATTTTTAACATTACGCTTAAAAATTTCTTTCAACAAATTTAATTTTCAAATTAGGATGGTAAAAATTGTTTATATAAGATTCTTATTTATGGTTGAAAGATCTAGAACTGCTAAAAACTAATGCTTCTTAAATAGAAGACAACTTTATGAAAGATATAATGTATCTTAATAGTTTGAAAGAGTCTTTTTTTTCACTCGAGGAAACATTTTACACTTTCTCAACCAAATATACTCAAAGGGTCTATAACCTATTTTCCAATCTATATGCAATCTAATTCAAATTTTTTGCGCAGTCTTAACCCCTGTCGCAAAAGGTGAATGAGTGAAAGGGATTAAAATTAACTGAACAAAAATTGTTTTGCATTTCATCTACAGGTTTTATTTGGTTTTATTTACAGCATTAATTGGAAGACTTATTATAATAACTTCCTTTAAACAGTATAGACAAAGCTTGTTTAACTAAAAATAGTGTTTTTTTTTATATGATGGTATATTAACAACTCGTCAATATGTATCAGTATGAATCATCACAGAATTTTATTTTATATCACATTATCCTAAAATTGATGTTTTTTAATTATAAAAACAACATATTTTAGGATAATGTGATATAAAATTTTGATGAAAATACAACCTCCTGTACATATGTACAGGAGGCATGTATTTTCATCAAAAGAAATTTAAAGCCATAAGACCAAATATAGGTCTAATCACTTTTTCACCAAAAACTATATTTATGGAAACATGACCAGTATACTATTAAATGCGCCATGTCACTAAAGGAACCTTTCCCCCTACATAATATTCTTTTAAACAGTTTTCAATACAATTTTTTTATTCGGATCAATGCAATAACTTAATTTTATTTTGTGTAAAAAAAGTAACTTAC